CCATTTGTAAACATCAATGGCTAGTCCTGACCCAGTGCCTGTCACCAGTGACTCACTGCCCCCTACCCCCAGGCCACAGCCCCCCAGTGTGTGGAGTAGGGGGCCCCTAAGCAGTGCCTTGAAAGCTAGAACTCTGCCCGCCTGCAAGGGAAAAGCCACGGTTCCCCACATTTTTCTTATTTAAAGGAGAATCCATTTGTAAAGTTTGTTGATCCATTTTTAAAGTTTACTCCCGACCCTTTCATATACTTTTGTGACCTGCTTTTGGGTCATGATCCCCGAGTTGAGAAATGCTGTTTTAAACAATGCATTTCATTAACAAGCACTTACTCTCTTTAAGGACCTCGCCTATAAAGGCCGCCACTGGCATGAAGCGTGTTTCAAGTGTGCCAAATGCAATCACTCTTTGGTGGAAAAGCCTTTCGCTGCCAAGGACGAGCTCTTGCTGTGTACTGAGTGTTATTCTAATATGTATTCATCTAAGTGTTTCCACTGTAAGAAGACCATTATGCCTGGTAAGATAACAAGGACACTTCACTAAAATGAAACAGTCATATTACATTTTTAATTAAATGCAAGCACTTCAGTAGTCAAGGTACAAATGAAGTATAATTTCTTGCTTTCTAGTACAGCATTCAGGTATACTATATAATCTTCCCCTGAGTGTACCCACCTTCCTCTCATCCTCTCTCACCTGCTGTTTAACATTGTGTCTTTATGGCATTACACACACAGAATATAACAAAGAATAAAACAGAATGCAGACATATGCAGATGCATTGCTAGCGTAAGCGAGGCCAGTTCTCAAGAAATCTACCATTATACAAGGTGTGTGGGTCCTACTGGTATGGCTCCTGGGATGTGTGGTCCCCAGCTGCTTGGAAGTTGGACAGCCCTGAACTATACTGTTATAGGAAAAGTACTATTAGTAGTATGTTGATAATCCCTTACTATAAGTGCAAATGGTGACATCAGGGTTTAGCATTATTATACTGCCTCCTTTAGAGTTCCCACGCATTCACACATTACAATTTGCCTTAAAATTAGTAAAAGGAAATGACAGAATTTCTAGAATTCTCTACTTGGTGTGGAAATAGCAGAGAAAATAAATTAGTAAAATACATTGGCAGCCCCACAGAGTGAAGCTTGTTTATTGCGACTTCATACTTGCAGCTTCTAAGCTTCTAATCACTAACTTCAGGTTGATAAGCCCCAACAGGCAAGGAGAGCAGCAAGGTTAGTTCTCTTAAGGTATCTTTATTGGCTGTACCATGAAGGGATACCAGCCCTAGTTCTGCAGCTTCCTAGAACTGGAAACAGCAGAGCCACTGAGTACTGGATGCTTGCAGAAAACTCCAACCAACTCTACAACTTCTTTCTCCCATCTGGGATGTAGGCACTCCCTGAATGGAGGAGAGGAATCACCAGCTGTTAAGAGTTCTCCTCCTCTTCTTCCCCTTCAAAGGGTTCTGTGAGAAAAAGTTAGAACTGCCTGCCTCCCCATTCTCCAATAAGATACAAGCAGAAGAAGAAGAAGCTTTAGTGTAAAGTCACTGAATGAATCCTTATAGTGGTTTGTGACTATACATTTCTCTCTCCTTACACTCTACTTTCTGCATGTCTTTTCACAGCATCCGATGAAGTATGCTACAGCTCACACATTTTTGTGCTATGTATATATCTCTATCTACATTAGTTAGGCTACAAGGTGCAAATCTAACCTGCCTTTTCCTTGACTTCAGACTAACGCAGCTAATACTACTAGACTTGTAATTATAAAAGTCATAATCATAGGGGTATGCAACACTAACCACTGGAGTTAATGCAGGGACTTGGGGAGTGGGGGGGTCTGTCCCAACAAATAAAGTACAAAATTTTTGGCAAACATTTAGTTAGGCATCTTTCTTTCAGGATTGCCTCTACACTTATCATACATCAAAACACCGTAAGTAAGAACTGTGGTTATCTGAAAAGGGTTGGAAATGATCAACTACAGTAAGTGACCACACAGTGTCTTGCACTCTGATAAAGAAAAGAAAAATGAATAGAAACAAATATTGGCCATGAATTAAATGACTTTTGTAAGGACCCACATTCATTAACAAATGTGTTTGACCCAGTTCAGGAAAGGTAAAAGAAATGTGTAAGAAAATGGATTCTTGTTAAAGTGCCCCCACAACCATTTTTAAGTGTGGGATGCTAAATACACATGATGCTGCAGGGGCTTTAATTAGAGCCACTCTAATTAATGTGCTTCCACCCTGAAGCATGTGTATAGTCACCCATAATGGGTTAGGTATTCAATCAGGGCCCAAGCATGTTCTTGGTGGAGTTTCAAACACTGAATGATGAGTAAGAAAAGAAATAAGACTTCCTAATTTATGTGTACTACACTCTGGGGGGTTTTTTGCTTGCTTGGTTTTCTTTTCAGGTTCTCGTAAAATGGAATTTAAAGGAAGTTCCTGGCATGAAACCTGTTTTGTTTGTCAATACTGCCGGCAACCATTAGGAACAAAGCCTTTGATTACACAGGACAATGAGAATTATTGTGTGCCATGTTTTGAGAAGCAGTTTGCTCACCATTGCTACTCCTGCAAGAAGGTAATTTATAAATAAAAATAAAATGGAAGAAATTGGATACTATCACACTTTTTAGTGCGGTTCTAGACCAAAAAAAAATACGTTAATTAAGACATAGGTTAGAGAAAATGCAAGCCTAAACTAACCTCTGTAAATGTTTCCATTCCCACCTATGGGGGTGCCTGTAGACATGGCAGGAAGCTGCTCTGATGCGCTGTAATTACAGCAATTAATTGAGTTGTGGGAGTGTGTTAATTAGCGTACCCCATCCAGCCTCAGTGCCTCATGTATCAGCTCATTCAAGCTTTAGTTAAAGCACCCCCACCGCCATTTTGAAGTGTGGGGACACTGATACACAAGACTCTACAATGCCTTAATTACAGCGGTTCTTGGAGCTACTCTAGTTAAAACGCCCATCCCCAGACCATGTGTAAAAATGTTCTAGCTTGGGTGCATCTACACATGCATTAATGCTTATTAAATTTAGTATGTCCAATATGAGATACTAAAAATGCGTATTACCAAAAGTGTACGTTTTTAGTGATGTTTAATGTGCAGTAGCCTATTTCACTGTGCATTAGTGTAACTGCACATTTTGTTACTTGACACTTTAATGTGCAGCAAAATAGGCTGCTGCACATTAAAGTGCACATGTAGATGCACCCCTTGTCTGCTTATTATTTAGGTCACAAACAATAAATATTTTTAAAATACTGTAAAAAAATTCCTATGATCTGCTCAGGAGTATGAAAAGAGTTTTGGATGAGCAGAATTCTCATATCACTCAAACCTATGATATCTAATTACTGTTCGTTTTGGTTAGCTGTAGTATAGTAGCTCCTACAGGTTATGAGAAGAATAGGATTTTTCACTGTTTTTATCACTGTTGTCTCCCTTTGACCTTTGTTTTTTTTCCCTTTCCTCCTGCTCTCTTCCCCCTCCCCTCCCCTGCTTTAACTTTGTCTTGCTTATCTCTACCTATTTACATTTTCACTGATCTCCTACCACACTTTTAGCTTCTCTCATTCCTTGGAGTCTCAAACCAGCAGACTCCCTCTGCCTAACAAAGGGTGGCTACACCCGAAGGCTTGCTGAGAACTTTTTTCCAGCTACTCAGTTGGTCTAATAAAACATACCACATCTAACCAAAGAACCTGGCCTGCCAAGAGGAATAGGATAATCTTTGTATTAAGCACTATATCCACAAAATCAGAGACAGTTAAAAGAAAAGGGATGATTTATCAGAGGGAGGGATATTTATCCCTGTCAATAAAATGGGGACTGTAAGTGACTTGCCTATGGTTATACAGAAAGTCTGTAGCAGCTGGGAATAAAACCCAGGTTTACTGAAACCTAGTCCAGTTATTTAACTATAATGCAATGTTTGATTTCAACTTAAGGAAGTTCACTTTCATAGCTCATGTTGCTGCTTTTCTAGGCATATAGGAAAATCAAACTAACCTGTTAGACAAAGACTTACCAATATAGTATGTTATGTGAAATGTTTTTTAATGTGAATCTAAACTTAGCTCTGTTTTAAATATGCTTACTGATCAAAATAACTGTTCAACCAAGGAATGATTTTTTCACTAAAAGGAGGTATATATCTGAGCCTCTGGACAGATAGCACACTTATGCTAGTATAAGAAAGGAGGAGACATAACACAGTCTCTAAACCAGGATAATCTTACTTAGACTGAAAAACTGGGGGTAAAACACCAGAGGCATAAATTATTCTAGAATAGGTTTGACTGCTCACATTTATTCCAAGGTAGCCATCTGATAAAGACAAAAAGGCTTCCATTACCTGCTCTTTCACCATCTACTAGAAAGATATAATAATATTTAGGGCTGTGCAAAATGGCTATGTTTTGTTTCGGTTATGGATTTGGCTGTTTTGGAGGACAATGATTTGTTTCTATGTTACATATCACTGTTCCATTTCAATTCGGCCAAATCTGTTTCTGAGTTTTGACATTGTTTTCGTGATTTGGCCATAGGCTATAAAGGGAAATCACTAACATGTCTATAACTTCTTCATTTCTTGCCTTATTTGCATGAAAATTCCAGGAGTGATAGCCCCTTCTGAGGGTATGAAGCCTGCACCACATTTCAAGGAGATAGGTGCAGGGTTTTTGTGAAACTGAACCTCAGACTCTTCAAAGCAAAACTTGCGTCACGTGTGTGTGTGTTACGAAACAGCAGGATGAAAACAGCAGGGATAGTAGCCCCTTCTGAGGTCATGAAGCCTGCCAGGTTTCAAAGAGATAGGTAGCAAGAGTTTCTGTGAAACTGCACCTCAAGCTGTTGAAAAGCAAAACTTGTGACGTGTGACTTTGTGTGTGTGTTAAGGCGCAGCAGGATGAAAACAGCAGGTATAGTAGCCTGTAACGGGGCCTTCCCAGTGCCAGTTAGCTCTCTGGCCGCCCAGCTGTTTCTGGGCCAACCTCCTGCCCCTCTTTTTCCTGCCACACCTGGATGGCAAACTGAATCAGATGTTTCCCAGGCTGCCCATTTAGGCATTTTGGGGTGACATCCATTCTGCATCTCTGTACCTCCCTACACTGTAGCCCATGCTTCACACATTGCATCCTTCACCCCCTCCAGCTGTAGGTCCCCTCTCTGGGACCTTTGGCTCCCCCTTAGGCCCAGGCCCTCTCTTCAGGCCAGTCGGAATCCTGAGCCTCTTGCTCTGGGCATTCCTCATGGCAGGCCCCTGGCCCTTTGAGCCCCCATTGGAGCCTGGCCCCAGCATGGACCAGTTGAGGGTACCTCTGATATCTTTTATTAGGCCAGCTGAATAGTTGGAGAAATGTATCTTAACAAGCTTTCCGATTCAAAAACCCTTTGTCAGGCTGAGAAAGCATCTGCAGTTGGTGTGTGTGCTCTTCCTGGATGGAATGAATAGTGAAGAAGCCAGAGGCTGGTATGCAATGCAGGCAAGAAAGCCAGTCAGTGAAAATGTAAATTGAGGTGTCAGGAAGTGAGGACAGGCTGGAGGGGGAGGGGTATATAGCAGATAAAAGTGGAGAAGTACCTGGGGAACCAGATGTCAGGCAGGTTATAGGGTGTCATAAATCCTGTGTCTATACTGAGCCCATGATTTTTTGTATCCAGGAGGTTGATGAAGTAAAGTTCATAGGCTCATCTATGAAAAGTTGTTTGTAAATTCAAACAAGCACCGAATCTCACTAACCTCATCACCAGAAGCAAACTTCCTACAGCCCAAAACACACTGAATGGATCCAGACCATGCCATGACAAGAAATACAAAACTTATCTCCAGTACCCCCACAATTACTACACCCCACAACAGAACTATCACCACTTCTGGATCTTACAGCTGCACCTCCAGAAACGTTACATATCTCATCCAGTGCACCAAATGCCTTGATGGAAAATACATAGGACATACCAAGCAACAACTGTGCAGCAGAATGAGTGCACATTGGAAATCTATTACAGACAAGAATACCCAACTACCTGTGGAGGCACATTTCTCACAAGAAAGCCACGCTCTCTAATCTCTCAGGCCTGATCCTCAAAGGCAATTTAAAAACCACTTTTCACAGATGAGCCTATGAACTTCACTTCATCAACTGATTCAAATGTTACCCAGGTAGGAGGCTGCCCATTAGGCCCCTGATGTCTGGGGGTGACATCTGTTCCGCAATTCTGTACCTCTCCTAACATTGCAGCCCATGCCTCACAGATGGTATCCCAGGCAGCTAAGCTCACCTGGAGCCTCCCGGCTCCACTACAACCAGCAAGCCTCAGGCCTCTCAAAGATCTTACAGGTCTGAGATTTTCCTAGCCAGGACGCTGCATGTGTGTGGTGGCTGGAGGTTATAAGGTGCCTTCTACCTACCTTTCACCAGGGAGGTTTGCAGTCCTGGCATTTTTGAGGGGCTGCCACACCACTGGCAGTCCCACCAGGCTTCCTGACCCTGGCAGAATGCAGTTTTAGGTCATTCCCAGGACCTGCGGCCTCCTCCTTCCCCATAGCCCCAGCTTATACCTCAAAGTTCATCCTGGTACAGGAGCTCAGCAGGAAGATGTTCTTTGCCTGCTGGCTGGTGATATAGTGAGTGCCACCTCCAGCTCCAGAGCAGGGCATTAAATGTTTAAAAAAAAAATTTAAATAGGAAATAGATGTGGATGGAGTGAGGAGGGTGGCACTCACTCAGTCTGCACATGGAGCCTGGAGAACCCCAGCAGCAGGAGATTCACCTTGAGGAATACCAGCTGCTCCACCAAACCAGGATCCAAGGTGGTGCGGTGGCGTATCAACATCCCCAGCAATGCTGAACACCCTCTCGCTTGGAACACTGGTCGGTGGACAGGACAGGTGTTCCTGGGCAACTGTCACCAGATCCTGCCTCATCTGGCTGTGGCTTGCCCAGTAGGCCAAGGGGTTGCAGAGCAGCGGCTCCACGACCTCGGTGCTACCTGCCCAATGCTGGGGTCTGGTGCCTCTGGACCCCAAAATGGAAGCCATGCCCTTGGCCCACACTGGCAGCACCTGTTATGGAAGAGACTGGCTGGTGGATGAAGTGCTGGCACGGGACAATGGTTCCCCCTTTTCTATGTCCCCCCACCTCTACCTTTCTGCCTCCCTGACTCTGTTCATCAGCACCTTCATCCAGTGATCCAGGGTTTTGCAGGTGCACACGCTCCCCTTCACCCTCAGGTCGCACATGACCACCAGCACATGGACCATACTGAATCACAACAAATCTAGCTGGTTCTTGATATCTTCCTTTAGCCACTTCACCAGTGCCTGCACCTCTGGTGACGGTGGCTTGCCCCAGCTGGGAACATTGATCCCCTGGAACAGCTTGAGGACCACCACGATCTGGGAGATGGTATCCCATGCTGTTTTGTTAAGGGGGCTGCTGATCCCAATCTCCCCAACCAAAGTCATCTCACTGATGGCCTTCTGTTGCTCAACCAGCCTTTCAAGCATCAGGTATGTGGAGTTCCACTGAGTCTCCACATCATGCATGATTTTGTGCTGCAGG